AACCATTCCAAAACAAACAATAATGAGCATTCAATAATCATTAATATCCCTCAATATTAATGGTCTTAACTCGCCCATTAAAAATCACAGGCTGACAGAATGGATTCGAAGACAGAACCCATCCTTCTGCTGCATACAAGAAACACACCTCAGCCTCAAAGACAGACATTACCTCAGAGTTAAGGGTTGGGAAAAGATTTTCCAATCAAATGGTCCCAAGAAACAAGCAGGGGTAGCAATCTTAATATCTAACAAACTAGACTTTAAACTGAAATCAATCAAAAGAGATGAAGAAGGTCATTTCATATTCATCACAGGAAAAATCTACCAAGATGAAGACTTGATTCTGAATATCTATGCCCCAAAAACTAGGCAAAAAAACATCCTTTCATGATACAGGTCCTGGAGAGATCAGGGATAACAGGAACATACCTGAACATAATAAAAACAATATACAGTAAACCAACAGCTAGTATCAAACTAAATGGCGAGAAACTCAATGCAATTCCTCTAAAATCAGGAACAAGACAGGACTGTCCACTCTCTCCATACCTCTGCAATACTGTACTTGATGTTCTAGCTACAACAATAAAACAAGAAAAAGAGATCAAGGGGATTCAAATTAGAAAGGAAGAAGTCAAACTTTCACTATTTGCGGATGATATGATAGTTTACATAAGTGACCTGAAAAACTCTAAAAGAGAACTCCTATAACTGATAAACACCTTCAGCAAAGTGGGGGATACAAGATAAAATAAAAAAATCAGTAGCCCTATTATATACAAACGATAAACGGGATGAGAGAGAAATCACAGAACCATCACCCTTTACAATAGCCCCAAACAACATAAAATATTTGGGGATAATGCTAACCAAACAAGTGAAAGACCTGTCCAGTAAGAACTTTGAGTCTTTATAGAAAGAAATTAAAGATACAAGAAAATGGAAAGATCCCCCTTGCTCTTGGATTGGTAGAACCACATAGAAAAGATGACAATCTTGCCAAAAGCAATCTACAGATTCAATGCAATCCCCATCAAAATCCCAGAACACTTCTTCACAGACCTTGAAAGAACAATACTCAACTTTGTATGGAAAAACTTTTGTTTTTCTGGATAGCCAGAACAACCCAGTACAATAAAGGAACTTCCGGAGGCATCACCATCCCTGACTTCAAGCTCTATCATAGAGCTATAGTCCTGAAAACAGCTTGGTATTGCCACAAAAATAGACAGGTAGACCAATGGAATCAAATAAAAAGCCCTGATATTAACCCACATGCCTACAAACACTTGATTTTTGACAAAAAAGCTAAGATTATACATTGGAAAAAAGAGAGAATCTTCAACAAATGGTGCTGGCATAACTGGATATTGGCATGTAGAAGACTGCAGATAGATCCATGTCTGTCACCTTGCATAAAACTTAAGTCCAAATGGATCAAATACCTCAACATAAATCCAGCCCAACTAAAACTCATAGAAGAAAAAGTGGGAGGTACAAATTGGTACAAGAGACTCCTTCCTGAACATAACACCAGTAGCACAGACAATTAATAAATATGACTTCCTGAAACTGAGAAGCTTCTGCAAGGCAAAGGACACAATCAGCAAGACAAAAAGGCAGCCCAAAGAATGGGAAAAGACATTCACTAACCCTACATCTGACAGAGGGCTGGTCTTCAAAATTTATAAAGAACTCAAGAAGCAAGTTTCCAAAACACCAAAGGATCCAATTAAAAAGTGGGGTATAGAATAGAGAATTTTCAATAGAGGAGTTTAAAATGGCTAAGAGATACTTGAGAAGGTGCTCAACATCCTTAGCCATCAGGGAAATGCAAATCAAAACAACTCTGAGATACCATCTTACACCTGTCAGAATGGCTAAAATAAAAAATACCAATGGCAGTTTATCCTGGAGAGGATGTGGAGATAGGAAACACTCCTCCACTGCTGGTGGGAGTGCCAATTCGTACAGTCACTTTGGAAATCAGTTTGGAGATTACTCAGGAAAATGGGAATAAACCTACCACAAACCCAGCAATTCCACTCTTAAGCTTATATCCAAAAGATGCACATTCATACAACAAGGATGCCTGTTCCACTATGTTCATAGCAGCATTATTTGTAATAGCCAGAACCTGGAAGCAACCTAGATGGCCCTCAACTGAAGAGTGGATACAGAAAATGTGGCACATCTACACAATGGAGTACTACTCTACTACTCAGTGGAAAAAAACAATGGAATCTTGAAATTTGCAGGCTCACGGATGAAACTAGAAGAAACCATCCCGAATGAGGTAACACAGTCATAAAAAGACAAGTATGGTATGTGCTCACTCATATATGGATTTTAGGCATGAAACGGGGGAGTGCCAGCATACAAACCCACATCCAGAGAATCTGGGAAACAGGGAGGACCCTAAGAGAGATATGCATGGCAACCCAGAGAAGGGCAATGGGACAGAATCTTCTGAGGGTTTTGGGATCACAGCGGGAGGGGTGAGGAAGCTGGAAGAAAGAGAGGGGCAAAGACTAGGGGAGAGGAGGACATGGGGGAGCAGGAAAGTTGAGTCGGGGAAAAATAGAGAGAGCAGAATGAGAGATACCATGATAGAAGGAGCCATTATAGGTTTGAAGAGAGATCTGGCACTAGTAAGATATCCAGAGACCTACAAGGATGACACCAACTGGTAATCTAACCAGTAGTTGAGAGGCTACCTTAAATGTCCTTCCCTGATAACATGGTAGACAACTTCCTTATATGCCATCCTGGGGCCTTCATCCAGTGGCTAAAGGAAGCAGAGGCAGACACCCACAGCTAAACACTGAACTGAACTCCTGGAAATCAGTTGCAGAGAGAGAAGAGTGATGAGCAAAGAGGTCAAGACTGGGTGGGTGAAACCCACAGAAACAGCTGACTTGAGCGAAGAGGAACTCATGGACCCCAGACTGATAGTTGAGAGGCCAGCATGGGACTGAATCAGACCCCCTAAATGTGGATGTCAGTGAGGAGGCCTCAGCATTCTTTGGGGCCTCAGGCAATAGATCAGCATTTATCTCTGTCATCCAGATGGACTTTGGGAACCCATACCACGTGGAGGGATGCTGTCTCCGCCTGGATACATGGGGGAGGAGGGCCTAGGCCCTGCCCCGGATGATATGACAGACTTCCCAGATCCCCCATGAAGGGTCTCACCCTCCTTGGAGAGTGGAGTGGGGATTGGGTGAGGGGCTTTGGGAGGGTTGAAGGGGGGCAGTAGAGGAGGGGAGGGAAAGGGAGCTAGGATTCACATGTGAAGCAAGTTTGTTTCTAATTTAAATTTAAATATGCTGGTGAAATAAAAAAAGAATTTATTTGTGTATATATTATTGTGTGTGTGTGTGTGTGTGTGTGTGTGTGTGTGTGTGTGTGTGTGTGTGTGTGTGTGAGCCTTAGATCTCAGTACCAACAGAGACCAGAAGAGGGCATGGGTCCCCATTTTATTATTTTATTTTGTGAGGGGTCAGGCAGTGAGAACTAGGTCCCTCCTTGACACTAGAGTTCACTTGTAATTATTGTCTGACCAGGCTGATCTTGCTGTTTCTATCTTTCCTAGAACTGGAGTTAAAGCTGAGTGACAGATGCCCTGCTTGTTGTGTGAATACTGAGATCTTAACTCTGGTACTCATGATTATGCAGCAAGTGCACTCAATCACTCAGGCATCTCTTCCATCCCTTGAAACAGGCTTTTATCTCTCTCCAAGGTGACTGCCATTGTATGGCACAAGCTAGGTGTTCTTAGACTGCTAAGCTTATGTTGACTAGACAGATACTCAAGTGGACAAGCATTAATCTACTCCACATGATTCAAACAGTAATTGCTTATACAATGCATATTCTTTCTGTAAATGGACCCCAAAATTTTGTGATAGCAGGTTAAATTTCTTGTAGCACCTACCCTGAGAAAAATATTTAAAAAAGAAAAAAATCATAGACCCAGGTTCAAATTTCATTTTCCCATTCTCTTGCTATGTGACTCTCAGTGAACTGCCCAACTTTCAGGAGTCTCTCTCCCTGCCTCTATAAAATGGAGGTAAGAACCAAATTCTGTCTTAGGGTTTTTTATTGCTGTGAAGAGACACCATGACCATGGCAACTTTTACAAAGAAAACATTTAATTGGGGCTGGCTTACAGTTCAGAACTCCAGTACATGATCACCATGACAGGGAGCATGCCAGCATGCAAGCAGATATGGAGCTGGCCACATCTGGACCAGAAGGCAGCAGGCAGTCCACTGACTGTCACACTGAGTGAAGCCTGAGAAAAGAGACCTCAAAGCCACCACCCACAGTGACACTTCCTCCAAGGCCACACCTCCTAAGAGTGCCACTCTCTTTGGGGGCCATCTTCGTTCAAATCACCACAGGGTTATTCTGGAAGATGGATGTTAATATTCCATCAAGATGCTGCTGCAGCAGCATAACCTCACGTTCTCCCACGGTGGTAGAACTGGGAAGTACAAGGGATCTTTAAGAGGTAACAGACTCACTTGAGAGGGAGCTATTAGGCCATTGAGGGAGGGTACACTCTCAGAAGAAACTGGGTGGTCCAGTTTCAGTTTCCTTTCTTATTCTTGTCTTAATATGTGGCTACTCACCCAGACATACACTCCCCCAGTGACTGTCACCTTTATCACACCAGTGGAGAGACCTGATTTTGGACTGCAAGTTCAAATAAATGTCTTTACTTCATATGTAGCCTGTGTCAGATATTTTGTTAGAGCAACAAGAAGCTAACTAATTACAGTCAGGCGGCAAGCTGAACACTTTGCTGTGTCTAATTCCCCCAATAACCTTAAGAAGCAGGCACATTTTACAAGTTTGCCAAGTGCAACTAAGTCACCTAATTAAATGTCACAAATGAGAACCAGAGTTGGAAAAGATATGCCTCACCTTAACTTTTTGCTGTTTCAGGATGATAAAAGATTTTAGACAAAGAACTAACAGCAGCTACTTACTGGACAGTCAGTTCCAAGTCGCCAATATGTCGAATTACAGAGATTTGTCACTGTCTCAGGATCCTCTATGTCATAATCTTTGGGAAAAGCTTCTCTGTCATGGTGCCTTCAAGGAAAAAATAGTAAAATATTAGGAATAATCCTTATTGATCATGCATTGAATTAAAAAACTTTAAATTTGCTATATTTCATGCTGTTCTCTTAATCATTAATCTGTCAAATTCATGATTCATGATGTGTTTCTCACCCCTTTTCAAAGAATTCTGAGACTACTCCCTAAAAACAACTCGGCACATTCAGTAAAGCTTGTACTGTCATAGAAACACTACTTAACTAACATAGTAATTACTCAGTAGCTCCAGTGAACTGAATCTTATTTAATAATGTAGATTAATTACTGACAGTAAATTCGAAAATAAGATATGGGAATAGCTTTTAAAAAGGCAACATGTCACTTTATAAATTCTCTCTATCGAGAATTTTAATTACATTGTTTTTCAAATAAGGCAGTATGCATTGATTGATAACCTGTGTGGTCCCTGTTTCCAAAGAGCACCTGAAGAAACTGATAGTCACCAGCTAAAAACTAAACAACAAAGCCTCACTTCCTTTTTGTTTTTAGATTTGTTTATGAGTGCTCTATCTGCATGTATGACTTCATGCCAGACAACCCTTATAAAGTAAAACATTTCATTGGGACTAGCTTACAGTTTCAGAGGTTTAGTCCATTATCATCATGGCAGAACATGAGGCATGCAGGCATACATGATCCTGGAGAAGGAGTTGAGAATCTTACATCTTGATCCACAGACAGCAGAATAAAAATCTGTGTTATAATGGTAGACTTGAGCTTCTAAGACCTCAAAGCACACCTCCACAGTGACACACTACAGCAAAGCTATACCTACTCCAACAAGGCCACATATTCTAATAGTGCCACAACCTATGAGCCAAGCATTCAAACAAATAAGTCTACGGGGGCCATTCCTATTCAAACCACCACGGCAACAAAGAAAATAACAAGTGCACCTGACCAGCAGTATTTTGTCTGAGCAGCAGAAAGCAGACTGAGATAGTGGTGCATTCTGTTGGGCTACATTTGCAATAGGCACAATGTTGCATTGGGGAATGCATTTAATGGAGTCTACCTTCAGCTATTCTCTGCTTCTGCAATAATTGACATAACTAATTAGGAAGGAAGACCTTAATTTGGACAATTTGTTCCAGCTGTGAGGAGGTTTATGGTATTGTGGTACCCAGAATCCCTCTTTGCTGTCCTTTCATCAGCAGAAGCGTCACCAGCTCTCTATGGTCTCCCATTATGGATCCAGCCATGATGCATGCTGGGCATTCGTGTATCTCTTGGCTATTTGTATGACTGAGAAATGTCCATTAAGGCCAATTGCTATTTAAATTGTGTTATTTTGGTTTTCTGTTATTGGGGTTTTGGGTTCCTTGTATATTTTGGACCTTGACATTCTGCCAGATGAATAGTTGGTTAATATTTTCCTCTTGCTATGCCATTTCCATTGTTTCAGCGAAGCTTTTCAAAGGATGTAATCTAGTTTGTCTGCTTTTGCTTTTGGTTTTGTGATTTTTCCAGGGATGGGGGTGTCTTACTTAAAAAGTTCCTAGGCCATTTCAATGTGAAGCATTTTTCTGATTTTTTTCTTCTAGTAGTTTAAAATTTTAGGTGTTATAGTTAAATCTCTAATGTTTTAAATTGTGTGTGTGTGTGTGTGTGTGTGTGTGTGTGTGTGTGTAGAGACAAGGCTAGTATCAAACTCCTGGTCTACTGGGCTGCTCCTCTCTCATGCTGAGACTATGGGCACATGCTACCACACTGGGATTTTTCATCCATTTGCATGTTGTGCTTTTGTTTGCTTGGGTTTTGTTGTTGTTGTTGTTGTGTTTGTTTGTTTGCAGTTGGTGAGGATGGGGTGTGGTTTTTATTCTGGATGTGCAAACCCCATCTCCTCAGCACCTTAACTGAAGCACCATCCTTTCTCTCATCTTCCATTCTTAAAGATCTGGTGTCATTGATGTTCTAAACTAAGTTTGCAACACATAAATGCACGAAGACTATGATCTCAAAATCACTCTGCTAGGCTAGCAATTTTTAGTAGACTTTGGGGTAGGATTTAAACTGCACCCCAACCCAATGAAAATAGTACAAACATTTGTAGGTGCTTAGAGACATTTATTTGCTTATTTATTCATAGTATCTGAAGCTCAAATAGTGATACACATTTGTAATCTCCAACAAGGAGTCTGAGTGCACAGGACAGATGAGTATGAAGACAGCCTAAGCTAGGCTCTTCTTCTAAAACCAAACGAAATAGACTTTCAGTTGTGGAATCTAGGTAGAATGGGATGCTATAGAATCTAGCAAGAAACTGGCAATGACACAGCTGAATTCTTATGGTGCTCAGGTAGGTGCCCACCACAAACAAACTGGTAACACTTGTAACACATGTCATTAGCACAGCTGTGAGAATAGATGCATCTCTGACTCTTGGATCTTTAGTACCCAAAACTCAGTGTTTCCCATAAAAGAGCAAGGTAAACAAGAGAGGATGGATTTAATCATCCTCACAAAAAGCCACCTTGAGAAATTCCCTGCATGGCACAAGGATGATTCAGCTCTAACCAAGGAGCCATAAACAGTTTCATGGAGCACCCAAACTGTGCCCACCTGGACAAAGTGACCCCATCCAGATGGTCAGGCAATGACTAATTTTGGTAAATAACATCTTGCTTCAACTGTCCTTGTGGGTAACTGTTAGTAACAATTTGAAATTCCCTGAGACCCCAGTCAATAAATCCAAAGGTCACCCACCTACTCTTACTCAATCCTGAACAGCCAAGGCATGTACCACCCTGCTTGCAGTTTTTTTCCTTTATAAACCCCTTGCAATTGAGGTCAGGCACCCTTTTCCTGAAGTTGCTGCACCAGTTTGCTGGACAGGATCCCTACCAAGACTTGTAATTTAACAATAAACCTTGCGCATTTGCATGGGTGAGTCATTTCTTTGGTGGTCTTTTTGGCATAATATCCCAGAGTAGTCAATCTCCTCTGAAATGGGTGGGACTAATACAAGGCTGCCAAGTACTTGACTTGAAAGAACATTCAAAATAAAATAACCTATCAACTCTAAGAATAAGATCTTTAACATGAAAAATCAGCATAAATAAAACAACCCTACATTCCTTTAAACTGAGTAAATATAACCACATAAAAATGCATTACACTATCACTGTAGTCTTCACAGCAACTTGAGTTACCAAAAAGAGTGTCACTGGCCAGACCTGGTCAGGTCAAGACCCTTGTGTAGATCCCTATCCAGACGTGAATCTGGAAGGAGCTGGTCTGCAATGGCTCAAGGTCAAAGGCATTTGAATATAGGTATTCTATGCCGCCAGATATTCTAGGCCAGGTGGGAAGACAGACTGAAGTTCATACTGGGAAGAGGACCCACAGACTCTTGCCAGCAGTGCCAGGATGTGCCTACAGAAGTGGCTTTCCTCCTTCATTTTTATTCGCTATAGTGCTCAAGGTCTTAGTTGGAGCAATATGACAAGGAAAAACTGAATATAAATAGGAAAGGAAGAAATATGTTTCATTACTAGCAGATGAGATACAGAAGAGACAACAAAGACTCTACCAGAAAACTCTTGTATCTGATTATAAAAAAAAAAACTCAGTAAAATGGAGGATACAAGGTTCCTCCGGCAGCATCAGGTAAACAGGCCGGCTTCCCGGCCTGTGTTCCAGTGCCTGCAGATCGCCTGGGAACTGCACAGAGCTCCCAATCCCGGCGGGAGCCAAGCACCCCAGACTCCAGATCTTCTCTCCCACCAATGAGACCAGGAAACCAGAGGAGGCAGGGAGACCAGGGGAGTAGCTGTTCTGGATCAGGTACAACAGGACCCAGCATAGGGTCCAGGGGACCAGGTAGGAGGCTAAGCGCCCCAGATTCCTGTTCTTCTTCTCCACCCATGGGACCAGCATTTGGACAAGGAATAGAAGAACCACCAGATTATTGGACTTGCTAGCACCCACCAAAAGGGAACTCTGGTCCCCAGACCAGTAAGGGGCTCTTTCTGCACCCACTAGAAGAAGAGATGGGAAAGAGACAATACAAAAACACAGTCAGCAACAGAAAAACAAATATGACACCGCCAGATTCTAAAGACTCCACACCAGCAAGCCCCCAACATTCCAATGCGAACGAAGCAGAAGAGAACGACCTTAAAAGCACTTTCATGAAAATGATAGAGGCCCTAAAAGAGGATATAGGAAAATCCCTCAAAGAAATGGAAGAAAAAACAAACCAAAAAATGCAAGAATTGGAAGAAAAAACAAACCAAAAAAGGCAGGAAATGGAAGAAGAAATGAAGCAAAAAATGCAAGAAATGGAAGAAAAACAAAGCAAAAAATGCAAGAATTGGAAGAAGAAACATACCAAAAAAGGCAGGAAATGGAAGAAGAAACAAAGCAAAAAATGCAAGAAATGGTAGAAAAAAACAAAGCAAAAAATGAAAAAAATGGAAGAAGAAACAAACCAAAAAAGGCAGGAAATGGAAGAAGAAACAAAGCACAAAATGCGAGAAATGGAACAAAAAGCAAACCAAAAAATGCAAGAAATGGAAGAAAGAACAAACCAAAAAATTCATAAAAGGCAACAAACGGATGAAAAGATAAACAGAAAATTGCAAGAAGCAATGCAAACACTGCAAGGGTTGAAAACTGAAATAGAGACATTAAAAAAAACACAATCTGAAGAAAGGCAGAAAATAGAAAAGCTGGACAAACAGTCAGGCACTACCAATACAAGCATTACCAACAGAATAGAAGAGATGGAAGAGAGAATCTCAAGTGTTGAAGATACACTAGGAGAAATGGATTTATCAACCAAAGAAAACCTTAAATCCAACAAATCCTTAACACAAAACATCCAGGAAATATGGGACACCATGAAAAGACCAAACCTAAGAATAATAGGTATAGAAGAAGGAGAAGAAATCCACCTCAAAGGGGCAGAAGGCATATTCAACAAAATCATAGAAAAAAACTTTCCCAACCTTAAGAAAGACATGCCAATG